GTCGTCACTGCTGTTGGGAGGGCCCTGTGGAGGCGCCGTCGCCCCCTGGGAGACCCCTGGCTATGGCACCTGGCTGGGGAGGGGCTCCCCTGGGGTGCAGTGTCCCTAGGGAGACGCTGGAGGCGCCATCGACTCTTGAAGATGCCATTGGGGTTGCCCAGGCCCTGTGTCAAGACCTTTGGGGGCTCCATCGTCTGGCAGACCTGCACCACTGGGACCCTTGTGCCGCTCTACTCCTTAGGGCCGCTGTGTCTGAAGGCCCTCGGGCACCACCGCCATTGAACGCCCTAGAGACGGCCACCACCACCGGAAGGGCACTGAGAACCAAGGCCTTTGGCCAAGGACCTTGCAAGGCCCTTACCAGCGCCGACACCCCTGGGTGATCCCCTTGGGGTGTTGCACATGGTAAGGCAAATCGGATTGTCCCAGGGTGCACTGCCATTGTAGGAGCCTGGGGACAGTTGTTTTTCCACATTTAGAACTATGGGCGATATGAATAAATACACTGCCCATCGCATTTCCAGTATCATCGCAACATGAACAATGTAAAGGAAAATAAATATCCAACAGGAAAACATAAGTTGGGGTGTTGTGCTGACTGACTGTTCTGGTCTCCTATTGGTTGTTATTGGTGTATTTATATTTTAGTCCACCAATCACAGTTGAGTAGGAATTGCTGGACGTATGCTATATGGACAACACTACAACCAAAAGTTATAGGGTTCCTAGGTGGGGACGCCTCTAGCAGAGCCCCTGGGGGCACCGCTGCCCCTAAGGAGAACCCCTGAGGGTGCCGCTGCCCGTTTGAAGAGCCCCTGGGGGCGTCGTTGCCTCTTGATAGGCCCCTGGGGGCACCACCACCCCTGAGAGGTCTCCTGGGGTCGTCACTGCTGTTGGGAGGGCCCTGGGGCGCCGTCGCCCCTGGGAGAACCCCTGGCTATGCCACCACAACTGGGATCTCCCCTGGGGGTGCGTTGCCCCTAGGAGGGCCGCTGGAGGCGCCATCGACTCTGTAAGAGCCATTGGGGGCGCCAGAGCCCCTGTCAGGGCCTTTGGGGACTCCATCGTCCCTGGCAGGGCCACCTGGGACGCCCTTGCCGCTCTGAGGTCCCTTGGGAGCGCCGCTGTCCCCTGGGAAGGCCCCTCGGACACCACCGCCATTGGGAGGGCCCCTACAGACGACATCACCACCTGGAAGGGCCACTGGGTGAACCAAGGCCTTTGGCAAGGTCCTTGCAGGGCCCGTACCAGCGCCGACACCCCTGGGTGATCCCCTGGGGGCGTTGCTCATGGTAAGGCAAATGGATGGTCCCAGGGGGCACTGCCATTGTAGTGAGCTTGGAGGCAGTTGTTTTTCCACATTTATAACTATGGGAGATATGAATAAATACTCTGCCCATCGCATTTCCAGTATCATCGCATCATGAACAATGTAAAGGAGAATAAATATCCAACAGGAAAACATAAGATGGGGTGTTGTGCTGACTGACTGTTCTGGTCTTCTATTGGCTGTTATTTGGTATATTTATATTTTAGTCCACCAATCACAGTTGAGTAAGGAATTGCTGGACGTATGCAATTTGTACAACACCACAACCCAAAGCTATAGGGTTCCTAGGAGGGGGCGCCTCTAGTAGAGCCCCTGGGGTCACCACTGCCCCCAAGGAGAGCCCCTGGGGGCGCCGCTGCCCGTATGAAGAGCCCCTGGGGGCGTCGTTACCCCTTGATAGGCCCCTGGGGGCGCCACCACCCTGAGAGGTCCCCTGGGGTCGTCACTGCTGTTGGGAGGGCCCCGACTGGGAGCCAACCCCTGGCTATCACCACCTGGGAGGCCCCTGGGGGTGAACCAAGGCCTTTGGCAAGGTCCTTGCAGGGCCCGTACCAGCGCCGACACCCCTGGGTGATTCCCTGGGGGCGTTGCTCATGGTAAGGCAAACTGGATGGTCCCAGGGGGCACTGCCATTGTAGTGAGCTTGGAGGCAGTTGTTTTTCCACATTTATAACTATGGGAGATATGAATAAATACTCTGCCCATCGCATTTCCAGTATCATCGCATCATGAACAATGTAAAGGAGAATAAATATCCAACAGGAAAACATAAGATGGGGTGTTGTGCTGACTGACTGTTCTGGTCTCCTATTGGCTGTTATTTGGTGTATTTATATTTTAGTCCACCAATTACAGTTGAGTAGGAATTGCTGGACGTATGCTATATGGACAACACTACAACCAAAAGTTATAGGGTTCCTAGGAGAGGACGCCTCTAGTAGAGCCCCTGGGGGCACCGCTGCCCCTAAGGAGAGACCCTGAGGGTGCCGCTGCCCGTTTGAAGAGCCTCTGGGGGCGTCGTTGCCTCTTGATAGGCCCCTGGGGGAACCACCACCCCTGAGAGGTCTCCTGGTGTCGTCACTGCTGTTGGGAGGGCCCCTGTGGGCGCCGTCACCCCTGGGAGAACCCCTGGCTATGCTACCACAACTGGGAGCTCCCCTGGGGATGCGTTGCCCCTAGGAGGGCCGCTGGAGGCGCCATCGACTCTGTAAGAGCCATTGGGGGCGCCAGAACCCCTGTCAGGGCCTTTGGGGACTCCGCCGTACCTAGCAGGGCCACCTGGAACGCCCTTGCCGCTCTGAGGTCCCTTGGGAGCGTCGCTGTCGCCTGGGAGTGTCCCTCAGGCACCCGCACCATTGGGAGGGCCCCTAGAGACGCCACCATAATCTGGAAGGGCCACTGGGGGAACCGCCGCCCTTGGCAAGGACCTTGTAGGGCCCGTAGCAGCGCCGACACCCCTGGGTGATCCCCTTGGGGTGTTGCACATGGTAAGGCAAATCGGATTGTCCCAGGGTGCACTGCCATTGTAGGAGCCTGGGGGCAGTTGTTTTTCCACATTTAGAACTATGGGCGATATGAATAAAAACACTGCCCATCGAATTTCCAGTATCATCCCATCATGAACAATGTAAAGGAGAAAAAATATCCAACAGGAAAACATAAGTTGGGGTGTTGTGCTGACTGACTGTTCTGGTCTCCTATTGGTTGTTATTTGGTGTATTTATATTTTAGTCCACCAATCACAGTTGAGTAGGAATTGCTTGACGTATGCTATATGTACGTCACTACAACCAAAAGTTACAGGGTTCCTAGGTGGGGACGCCTCTAGCAGAGCCCCTGGGGGCACCGCTTCCCGTTTGAAGAGCCCCTGGGGGCGTCGTTGCCTCTTGAAAGGCCCCTGGGGGCACCACCACCCCTGAGAGGTCCCCTGGGGTCGTCACTGCTGTTGGGAGGGCCACTGGGGGCGCCGTCGCCCCTGGGAGAACCCCTGGCTATGCCACCACAACTGGGATCTCTCCTGGGGGTGCGTTGCCCCTAGGAGGGCCGCTGGAGGCGCCATCGACTCTGTAAGAGGCATTGGGGGCGCCAGAGCCCCTGTCAGGGCCTTTGGGGATTCCATCGTCCCTGGCAGGGCCACCTGGAACGCCCTTGCCGCTCTGAGGTCCCTTCAGAGCGCCGCTGTCCCCTGGGAAGGCCCCTCGGACACCACCGCCATTGGGAGGGCCCCTACAGACGACACCACCACCTGGAAGGGCCACTGGGGGAACCAAGGCCTTTGGCAAGGTCCTTGCAGGGCCCTTACCAGCGCCGACACCCCTGGGTGATCCCCTGGGGGCGTTGCTCATGGTAAGGCAAACGAGATGGTCCCAGGGGGCACTGCCATTGTAGTGAGCTTGGAGGCAGTTGTTTTTCCACATTTATAACTATGGGAGATATGAATAAATACTCTGCCCATCGCATTTCCAGTATCATCGCATCATGAACAATGCAAAGGAGAATAAATATCCAACAGGAAAACATAAGATGGGGTGTTGTGCTGACTGACTGTTCTGGTCTCCTATTGGCTGTTATTTGGTGTATTTATATTTTAGTCCTCCAATCACAGTTCAGTAAGGAATTGCTGGACGTATGCAATATGTACGTCACCACAACCAAAAGCTATAGGGTTCCTAGGAAGGGGCGCCTCTAATAGAGCCCCTGGGGGCACCACTGCCCCTAAGGAGAACCCCTGGGGGCGCCAATGCCCGTATGAAGAGCCCCTGGTGACGTCGTTGCCCCTTGATAGGCCCCTGGGGGCGCCACCACCCCTGACAGGTCCCCTGGGGTCGTCACTGCTGTTGGGAGGGCCCTGTGGGCGCCGTCGCCCCTGGGAGAACCCCTGGCTATGGCACCACAACTGGGAGCTCCCCTGGGGGTGCGATGCCCCTAGGAGGGCCGCTGGAGGCGCCATCGACTCTGTAAGTGCCATTGGGGGTGCCAGAGCCCCTGTCAGGGCCTTTGGGGACTCCATCGTCCCTGGCAGGGCCACCTGGGACGCCCTTGCCGCTCTGAGGTCCCTTGGGAGCGCCGCTGTCCCCTGAGAAGGCCCCTCGGGCACCACCGCCATTGGGAACGCCCCTAGAGACGACACCACCACCTGGAAGGGCCACTGGGGGAACCAAGGCCTTTGGCAAGGACCTTGCAGGGCCCTTACCAGCGCCGACACCCCTGGGTGATCCCCTTGGGGTGTTGCACATGGTAAGGCAAATCGGATTGTCCCAGGGTGCACTGCCATTGTAGGAGCCTGGGGACAGTTGTTTTTCCACATTTAGAACTATGGGCGATATGAATAAATACACTGCCCATCGCATTTCCAGTATCATCGCAACATGAACAATGTAAAGGAAAATAAATATCCAACAGGAAAACATAAGTTGGGGTGTTGTGCTGACTGACTGTTCTGGTCTCCTATTGGTTGTTATTGGTGTATTTATATTTTAGTCCACCAATCACAGTTGAGTAGGAATTGCTGGACGTATGCTATATGGACAACACTACAACCAAAAGTTATAGGGTTCCTAGGTGGGGACGCCTCTAGCAGAGCCCCTAGGGGCACCGCTGCCCCTAAGGAGAACCCCTGAGGGTGCCGCTGCCCGTTTGAAGAGCCCCTGGGGGCGTCGTTGCCTCTTGATAGGCCCCTGGGGGCACCACCACCCCTGAGAGGTCTCCTGGGGTCGTCACTGCTGTTGGGAGGGACCCTGCGGGCGCAGTCGCCCCTGGGAGAACCCCTGGCTATGCCACCACAACTGGGATCTCCCCTGGGGGTGCGTTGCCCCTAGGAGGGCCGCTGGAGGCGCCATCGACTCTGTAAGAGCCATTGAGGGCGCCAGAGCCCCTGTCAGGGCCTTTGGGGACTCCATCGTCCCTGGCAGGGCCACCTGGGACGCCCTTGCCGCTCTGAGGTCCCTTGGGAGCGCCGCTGTCCCCTGGGAAGGCCCCTCGGACACCACCGCCATTGGGAGGGCCCCTACAGACGACATCACCACCTGGAAGGGCCACTGGGTGAACCAAGGCCTTTGGCAAGGTCCTTGCAGGGCCCGTACCAGCGCCGACACCCCTGGGTGATTCCCTGGGGGCGTTGCTCATGGTAAGGCAAACTGGATGGTCCCAGGGGGCACTGCCATTGTAGTGAGCTTGGAGGCAGTTGTTTTTCCACATTTATAACTATGGGAGATATGAATAAATACTCTGCCCATCGCATTTCCAGTATCATCGCATCATGAACAATGTAAAGGAGAATAAATATCCAACAGGAAAACATAAGATGGGGTGTTGTGCTGACTGACTGTTCTGGTCTCCTATTGGCTGTTATTTGGTGTATTTATATTTTAGTCCTCCAATCACAGTTCAGTAAGGAATTGCTGGACGTATGCAATATGTACGTCACCACAACCAAAAGCTATAGGGTTCCTAGGAAGGGGCGCCTCTAATAGAGCCCCTGGGGGCACCACTGCCCCTAAGGAGAACCCCTGGGGGCGCCAATGCCCGTATGAAGAGCCCCTGGTGACGTCGTTGCCCCTTGATAGGCCCCTGGGGGCGCCACCACCCCTGACAGGTCCCCTGGGGTCGTCACTGCTGTTGGGAGGGCCCTGTGGGCGCCGTCGCCCCTGGGAGAACCCCTGGCTATGGCACCACAACTGGGAGCTCCCCTGGGGGTGCGATGCCCCTAGGAGGGCCGCTGGAGGCGCCATCGACTCTGTAAGTGCCATTGGGGGTGCCAGAGCCCCTGTCAGGGCCTTTGGGGACTCCATCGTCCCTGGCAGGGCCACCTGGGACGCCCTTGCCGCTCTGAGGTCCCTTGGGAGCGCCGCTGTCCCCTGAGAAGGCCCCTCGGGCACCACCGCCATTGGGAACGCCCCTAGAGACGACACCACCACCTGGAAGGGCCACTGGGGGAACCAAGGCCTTTGGCAAGGACCTTGCAGGGCCCTTACCAGCGCCGACACCCCTGGGTGATCCCCTTGGGGTGTTGCACATGGTAAGGCAAATCGGATTGTCCCAGGGTGCACTGCCATTGTAGGAGCCTGGGGACAGTTGTTTTTCCACATTTAGAACTATGGGCGATATGAATAAATACACTGCCCATCGCATTTCCAGTATCATCGCAACATGAACAATGTAAAGGAAAATAAATATCCAACAGGAAAACATAAGTTGGGGTGTTGTGCTGACTGACTGTTCTGGTCTCCTATTGGTTGTTATTGGTGTATTTATATTTTAGTCCACCAATCACAGTTGAGTAGGAATTGCTGGACGTATGCTATATGGACAACACTACAACCAAAAGTTATAGGGTTCCTAGGTGGGGACGCCTCTAGCAGAGCCCCTGGGGGCACCGCTGCCCCTAAGGAGAACCCCTGAGGGTGCCGCTGCCCGTTTGAAGAGCCCCTGGGGGCGTCGTTGCCTCTTGATAGGCCCCTGGGGGCACCACCACCCCTGAGAGGTCTCCTGGGGTCGTCACTGCTGTTGGGAGGGACCCTGCGGGCGCAGTCGCCCCTGGGAGAACCCCTGGCTATGCCACCACAACTGGGATCTCCCCTGGGGGTCCGTTGCCCCTAGGAGGGCCGCTGGAGGCGCCATCGACTCTGTAAGAGCCATTGGGGGCGCCAGAGCCCCTGTCAGGGCCTTTGGGGACTCCATCGTCCCTGGCAGGGCCACCTGGGACGCCCTTGCCGCTCTGAGGTCCCTTGGGAGCGCCGCTGTCCCCTGGGAAGGCCCCTCGGACACCACCGCCATTGGGAGGGCCCCTACAGACGACATCACCACCTGGAAGGGCCACTGGGTGAACCAAGGCCTTTGGCAAGGTCCTTGCAGGGCCCGTACCAGCGCCGACACCCCTGGGTGATTCCCTGGGGGCGTTGCTCATGGTAAGGCAAACTGGATGGTCCCAGGGGGCACTGCCATTGTAGTGAGCTTGGAGGCAGTTGTTTTTCCACATTTATAACTATGGGAGATATGAATAAATACTCTGCCCATCGCATTTCCAGTATCATCGCATCATGAACAATGTAAAGGAGAATAAATATCCAACAGGAAAACATAAGATGGGGTGTTGTGCTGACTGACTGTTCTGGTCTCCTATTGGCTGTTATTTGGTGTATTTATATTTTAGTCCTCCAATCACAGTTCAGTAAGGAATTGCTGGACGTATGCAATATGTACGTCACCACAACCAAAAGCTATAGGGTTCCTAGGAAGGGGCGCCTCTAATAGAGCCCCTGGGGGCACCACTGCCCCTAAGGAGAACCCCTGGGGGCGCCAATGCCCGTATGAAGAGCCCCTGGTGACGTCGTTGCCCCTTGATAGGCCCCTGGGGGCGCCACCACCCCTGACAGGTCCCTGGGGTCGTCACTGCTGTTGGGAGGGCCCTGTGGGCGCCGTCGCCCCTGGGAGAACCCCTGGCTATGCACCACAACTGGGATCTCCCCTGGGGGTGCGTTGCCCCTAGGAGGGCCGCTGGAGGCGCCATCGACTCTGTAAGTGCCATTGGGGTGCCAGAGCCCCTGTCAGGGCCTTTGGGGACTCCATCGTCCCTGGCAGGGCCACCTGGGACGCCCTTGCCGCTCTGAGGTCCCTTGGGAGCGCCGCTGTCCCCTGAGAAGGCCCCTCGGGCACCACCGCCATTGGGACGCCCCTAGAGACGACACCACCACCTGGAAGGGCCACTGGGGGAACCAAGGCCTTTGGCAAGGTCCTTGCAGGGCCCTTACCAGCGCCGACACCCCTGGGTGATACCCTTGGGGTGTTGCACATGGTAAGGCAAATCGGATTGTCCCAGGGTGCACTGCCATTGTAGGAGCCTGGGGACAGTTGTTTTTCCACATTTAGAACTATGGGCGATATGAATAAATACACTGCCCATCGCATTTCCAGTATCATCGCAACATGAACAATGTAAAGGAAAATAAATATCCAACAGGAAAACATAAGTTGGGGTGTTGTGCTGACTGACTGTTCTGGTCTCCTATTGGTTGTTATTGGTGTATTTATATTTTAGTCCACCAATCACAGTTGAGTAGGAATTGCTGGACGTATGCTATATGGACAACACTACAACCAAAAGTTATAGGGTTCCTAGGTGGGGACGCCTCTAGCAGAGCCCCTGGGGGCACCGCTGCCCCTAAGGAGAACCCCTGAGGGTGCCGCTGCCCGTTTGAAGAGCCCCTGGGGGCGTCGTTGCCTCTTGATAGGCCCCTGGGGGCACCACCACCCCTGAGAGGTCTCCTGGGGTCGTCACTGCTGTTGGGAGGGACCCTGCGGGCGCAGTCGCCCCTGGGAGAACCCCTGGCTATGCCACCACAACTGG